CTCTCGAGATCAGGTGCAAAGTCGCTCTGCACTCGCGTTGTGCGTCATCTCCGAGGCTTGTCTAGCTCTCCTGTCCACTTAACAGGGGAATCTAACACTGCGCTTCTCGCAAGGCTTGGTGTTCCCCATCCCATCCAAGACTTGATAGGTGCCAACGAAAGACTTCTCAAAAGGCACTGCATGTCGGGGGACATCATGGTAGCTCATCCGCTTGTCCTGAAAAGGTTTACTGATGTCTGCGCGTCTCTTCATCAGCTAATGCAACAAGATCCGCTGCAAGCTGTCGTTCATACGCATCATCCTGAGGTACCCAGAGCAACGGATGGCACCATGCTGGAGGGTCCCATTAATTGTGCCGAAGACGTAGTGCCAGCCTCGTTTGTATGTGATGTCTGTTACCTTGCGTTTGGCTCTCTGGCCATGCTACGCAAACACTATGTTCAATGTCATGGACAGTCGCTTCAGATGACAACGGGCGTTTTCGATCGATGGGCGCATTCCTTACAGGGCATGCCAACATGTCGGCATTGCAGTCACGTTTTCGGGGGATGGGGAGACTTGCAGCGTCACATCCAGGGTGGGCACTGTTCCTCACTCTGGCGTAAGGTCACCCAGGGCTTTTCATCTCCAACCATCGATGGGGCGATGCCTGCTCCACCTGGTCTGGGCAATGCCAGCCTTGTTTCTGCTGATACTGAGGGTGCTGCGCATGTACCGCTTCTGTATCGCGCTCACTTTGCTGAAGCTCTTAGCCAGCAGGGGTGGCTTCAAGTGCTCACTGACACTAACATAGCAACGGAGCTGTCGCATCACTGTGGAATTTGCGGTCAGTGGGTTGTTGATTCACAGCACCTGAAAATCCATCTTCGCCGCATACATCATGAAGTGTGGGCGCAGCATGCAGGGCCGGCAAAACAGCTCTGTAGGGTTGTGGCTCGAAGCGTGGTGTCGCCTTGTCGTTGGTGCGGATCCAAGACCCAAAGGCCGGTTCAGCATGCACACAGATGCGCTGTTGTCTTTCAAGTTTGCCTAATGGCCAGCCTGCGAGGACACATCCATGGCGAGTGCAGAGGACGTGCAGCTCTTGTTCGGTGGCTACATGTCAGACCTGCAGCAGGCAGCTCAGCTGCTTGTTGCCCCGGGAACACAAGCAGCGCCAGTCCCAGCACAGGTTCCTGTATTCCCAATGACGCCTCAAGCATCTCAAAGCTCAACGGCTACTCCCCAGCGGCAGGGGCGCACGCAGCCTCGAACTCCCCCCATGCCACAGGCGGGACATGGCAAGCGTCGCCGTCGAGGCCAACCTCAACCCGTGCCGGGTCGCTCACCACAGCACCAAGTGAACATCCGCCAGCAGCTACCACAGGCACAGGCCCAGACACACCTCGGCCTGCAGTCAGTCCACGGGACAGACTTGCCCTGGCGTTCCAACGAGGCAGCGTCTTGGCAGCCAAATGGAGAGCAGGATCTTGTTCAAATGGTGGCTCGCCTGACACTGAGACAGGAGGACCTTCTGCAGAGGATGGCGCAGGATACGACGTTTGTGTGGAGCTTCAAAAATGCAGCGTCGGGGGACTCGATAGTTCTACCGCTCTATCGGGCCACCATGGAGTGGCAGCAGCAGTACGAGACGGACCGTGCTCAGCTTCGTATGCCACTTCGCACCACGGTTCTTCTCTTTGTACTGGCACAGCTGGAGGAGCGGCACGAATCCCTGATGGCAGATGCTCAGAAAATTCAGGCCATGAAAAAGCTCGGCTGGCTGACGAGCAACGGCGATTGGGCTTACATGAAATGGGACTCCACCACAGAGACCTTGGTGACGGACAGTCAGTATGCAGCGATGTCGCCGGGAGCCTTCCTCGACGATTTGAGGGAGGTGAGGGCTCTCCTAGAGCTCTCGCCAGAGGACCTGTTGCACAGGTTCCAAGCAACTCGCAAGCTGGGGAACCACATGACGGGGCCGGTGGTTTCGTTCATCTCCGAAGTCTCCTTGAGGCACACATCGGGCGGCGATCTGTTTTACCTTCTGAGGCGGTGGATTGGACTTGCCTCGCTTCTCTTGGTCGGTCTACAGCTCAAGGGAGCTCGGCCCAAGAAGAATGCTCTCGCGCTGTCCATCCAGAATGCTCTTTCAAGGCTTTGCTCAAACAAGTGCTAAGAAATCCTTCCAACCTGTGCTACCTACACACAGTGGTGATTTCCTTTGCGTGGTGCTTCAGCTACTGTGCAGGTGATGCTGCTGGCTTCTTGGGAGAGCGCTGGGAGGCGATAAGGCACCTTTTTCAACCAGCGACCTGCCCGATTCTTTTGCCCAGTTTTCTCTCCTGGCGTCTTCTGTTGCAAGGATGGAGTGACCTGCAGAGTCAACACGATGCAGCTGAGTTTGCAGAATACTTCCTTGACAGGTTTCAACACTCCTTGACGTCGGGGGAATGGGAGGCTCGCACACCCACGGAGTCGGCGTATCATGTGCATGACAGGGGTTCCAACCAGTTGCTTCTGCTCCCCGTTGCAGCAGGCTGCCAATCCTTTCAGGATTGTGTCAGTCAATGGGCCACACAGGCCGTTGCGGTCTCTGACGAGACTAGCATGCACTTGTTGCCTGGCGCCGCCACCACACACGCACTTCTTGCACCACCGCCAGTGTTTCTCTTGGTGCAACTCAAACGCTTTGCAAATTCTGATGCAGGCACCAGCAAAGTGTTCCACCCTGTGTGTATGGAGGCGGGGCAACGCTATGCATTTCCAGTCTATACCGCCGAGGGCAGCATCATCTTTGCGGATTACCACATAATAAGTGTGGTGTTCCATCTTGGGGACTCCACAACCAACGGCCATTACCGCAGTGTGCTTCATTACCCGATTGCAGGTCAATGGAGGAGTTGGGTCTCTGACGATGGAAAGCCGGCTGTCGTGCTGACACCGGAGATGGAAAAAATTGTGGAGTGCAACAATTACCTGGTCTGGCTACGCAAAGCCGACTAACAGCAGTGCGCTGCCCATGCTCTCTTTTTTCTGCAGAAAACATTGTGCTTTGCCAGGTGTATATATTTTCTTCGCATCTACTGAGCTGCTCCTCCTTTTCACCTTTGCGTTGTATGGTTTTTTCGCTTTTATTTCTCGATTGGCATGCTGTCTTCTTGACGCGACCAAAGCTGGTGACAATATCCGGCTACAGTCATATGATCTGAGTGCTATCTCGAATAGCCGGACCGAGCTGCTTGTGACACGTCACGGGCTCAGTCTGCTGTCTCACACCGCGCTAGGCTCCCAGATAGAGTGAGCTGCGAATTGAAATGAAATGAAACAACGGCTGCAAGGGGGCGTCCCCATTGGGTCATTGGTCCTGTTTAATGCAGCAATGTGCCACTCGGGCAGTCGGCAGCTGCCGGCTTGTCGGGTTCCTGGACCCCCTTTCTTTTTGTTTCATTTATTGTTCGCCACCCGCTTGGGCCGACGACCGCTTATTTGAGTTTGAGGCCCAGGGAGCACATATGCCTAGATGCCGCAAGTTTTGGGGTTGAAGAGCTGGGGAAGTGGCTCAGACTACAACAAGTTCTTTGACATGGAGAGGTCCCGATTCGCCAACCCGCTTGAGTCCCACTGAGATCTGAGTCGGGGGCTTCTTTGCCGGTGGCGCCTCAAAGTTAAAAAGTCGAAATAGTATGATGGTTTCGACTTAGCATGTGGTACACTTCTCGTTTTGCATTGGGTTCTCGTTGAGCTTCGGTTCCAAGGCTTGAAGTCCAGGACTTGCATGCGTGCGGTTGAAGCCTCGACGCCGCCAAGGTTGCGAGAAGCGTCTTTCTACACATGCTACATGAGTTTTTAAGTATATCTCTTCGAGATGCCAAACGGGATTCAGCCTGCAACGCTTTCCTGTGGCCTTGCTCTTGAAACTGCATGCAGAACTGGTCTCGATGCTCTGTTTGGACAATGCAAAGGACACACTAAGCCCACAGTGCTCAGAGATGCGCGCCTATGAGCAGCTCGATAGATGGAAAGCCCTACAACCCCTACAACTCAAAACAGCTCCTCAGGCAAAAAGGACCCTCCATGACTCACGCAGGCCTGGCCCTCTCCCTCACCGGTCGGCTCGGTGTCAGCAGGGCGCTTCATTGGTCTGCCTGGAAGCAGAACGTTCGGACTTGAACTCGACTTCTGACAAATCTCTGTAACCGCACAGCAAATATGTTGAGGGTCGCAGGTTGCCCACATGCATACAAGTTGTATTCAACCCGATCCATCCCAGTCCACAAGTGCTTTGACAGTTGCACGGCGGAGCTTCGAGGGTTCCCGCAAGGAAGGCTTGAGCGACAAACAGCTGAGGAGGTGTAAGGTGCAACCAGCTGCTAGCCCTACTAGCCCAGCTCTGCTATAGCTCTGGATCTTGTGTTGTGATTCGGGTGCAGGTCTGGAATTGCCGGGTACTGCAAGAACACTCACCACCAAATCGCCGCCAAGCCTGATTGGACTTTGTAAGCCTCAACCTCCGGCCCAGAAGCGTCTAGAACAAGCAGACCAGGATCTGGTTTCCTTCCCCTCTTCCCCTGGGGGGCTGCAATCCGATGCCTCCTGCCCCCTAGGACCCGATTTGGAACCCCAAACTTCACGCATCCCGTTGCTTGGGCCGGCCCATTGCCGAGGCAGCGCGAGCAAGCGTTTACAATTGAATAGTTGCGAAAGATACAACTCAAATCAACAGACAAGGCAGGCTGCCTCTGTCACACCTCTTTCAGCATTTTTCCTCATGTGTCTCACTCGCCGCGCACAACCCAAAGATCTTGAAAAACGCTCATGCTAAGACTCATGCTACAGAATCCATGACCTGCAGAACAACACAACATAGCTAACAGCAGCATTGCACCCTTTAAGCGGACGATCAACATAGCTCGGCACTTGGCAGTATTTAGGGCTGTGGTATGATGGCCTTAGACTGTAGAGTTCTCCATGTCTGAAGCTCCATACGGCTATAGCCGGCTCATTGCTGGCTCCTCTCAGGCTTCATCGGCAGGCACGCGCCACTTCGCAAGGAAGTTATCCTTGTCGTTGTCCTGCATGGAAGCAGCAGACTGCCAGGACTCGGGTGCAATCGATAGGTAGTATCCAGACAACAAGCATCATGAAGTGTGGAAAAGGGTGAAGATGAATCACCGACCTTTAGCAGATACTTGGCAGGACGGGACCCATCCCCCCCTCACCCCCAGTCCTTGATGCGGCACCAGACGCAATGGAAGAAGAAGGCCATGGCCGGGTACATCATGATGTAGCGGTAGAAATCTTCGTGGGACTTGTCCAACATTCCGCCGTAGTAGCTGGTGTCGATGTAGTAGCGCCAGCGGTTCTTGGTCGGATCGATGTGAATCTCTGGCATGCCCATCATGCACATCTTCTGGTAGTCCCAATTGCGCTCCAGCCATCGAATCCAGTGGCGGCCCGGAACCCTGCGCAGCCACACGATGGTGGAACGCAGCCAAAGGTAGACCGGACCACCCTTGTACGGGGACATCACCGTTTCCTCCACGCGGCCGTAGACCAAGGGATACGTCTGAGTGGGGGGATCCAAGGTCTTCGGCACCTCTGCAGCAAACAGGCGTCGACCTGCCCGCAGCATCTTCTGGCGCGACACGTTGCGCAACAGCCCCATGGTCGGGCGTCGCGTGCGCTGGCTCTAGGTATCGGGGGCAAACCAGCTTGGGCGAAACCAGTGTGCAAGCGATTGCATGCTCCGCAAGAGCTCATGCGAACACATGCTGATCCCACGACAGCCAAGCCGCCAAGCTACGTACAAACACGCAGGTCGGCATAAACATGACATTATATCCTGCCTACCTTGTGGCCTTTGAGCAAAGTCTTTTGGTCAGCGTGCGGCATGTGCGCGATCTGTCGAGAAAGCGTCAATCACGTACAGTAGATGTCGAATGCTTCGTGTTGCTTATTGCGTCTATGCAGAAGTGTAGGTAGCGGCTGACTTTCATTTGGAGGAAGAATGAAATCAAGACAAAACGTCGGAATGACAGCATCGTTTTCTGTGTACCACTAGGCCATGCCCTCCTCATGCTTCGTCAGCAGGCACACGCCACTTGGCGAGAAAGTTGTCTTTGTCGTTGTCCTGCGCAAGCACGAAATCGTTGTGCCTTCATGATGCCGACACCAGCTCAGCTCAAATCACCACTACTATAGTACAACTACCATCATCATCATCCTCATCATCATCATCCTCATTATCATCATCATCACCATCGCCATCGTCATCATGTCATCAACATCCTCAAAAGCAGCAGCAGCACCACCACCACCACCAGCAACGCCGGCAACAACAGCCAGCAGCAGCAGCAGCAGCAGCAGGAGAAGGAAAGCAGAGCAGGAAAGAAGCAACAGAAAAGCAGCACCAGCACCAGCAACAGCAGCAGCAACATCCCGGGTGAAGTGCGAGCAGCTCAAGTCCTTAGCAAAGCTGCACTGCAGGTTTAGGCAACACCCGAGCACTGAGATTCAAAAGCTCTTGCTGCACAGCGTGATGTCAAAACAAAGTGTCCTTGATGCGGCACCAGACGCAATGGAAGAAGAAGGCCATGGCCGGGTACATCATGATGTAGCGGTAGAAATCTTCGTGGGACTTGTCCAACATTCCGCCGTAGTAGCTGGTGTCGATGTAGTAGCGCCAGCGGTTCTTGGTCGGATCGATGTGAATCTCTGGCATGCCCATCATGCACATCTTCTGGTAGTCCCAATTGCGCTCCAGCCATCGAATCCAGTGGCGGCCCGGAACCCTGCGCAGCCACACGATGGTGGAACGCAGCCAAAGGTAGACCGGACCACCCTTGTACGGGGACATCACCGTTTCCTCCACGCGGCCGTAGACCAAGGGATACGTCTGAGTGGGGGGATCCAAGGTCTTCGGCACCTCTGCGGCAAACAGGCGTCGACCTGCCCGCAGCATCTTCTGGCGCGACACGTTGCGCAACAGCCCCATGGTCGGGCGTCGCGGGCGCTGGCTCTAGGTATCGGGGGCAAACCAGCTTGGGCGAAACCGGGCAGGTACTGCTTCAGATTCAGTATCGAGCAAACTCTGCATGAATGACTTGCTATGACTTGCTGACAGCACATGAAAATACATCATGATCTCATCATCAGCATCATCATCATCATCATCAGCATCATCATTACCTTTCAGCTATCATCTGTCACCTATCATCGGCATCATCATCGTCGTCATCATCATCATCGTCATCGTCATCGTCATCATCACCATCATAATCATTGTCTGATTGGTGCATCTCGGATACCGGCACGCACGGCGCGTCTTCATTGGGGGTTTTTGTTGTTCGCCATTCCCGCTTTGTGCTGACATGCGCATTGCATCTTGCACAATCTTGAAACGCCAGCACGAAGCAAATGACCATGCGGCCGGGCCGATCCGTCGTCAGCAAGACTGTACACATGACAACGTATGCAGGGGCCCGAAGCATGTGCTGTGATCGCTTTGTACATCGAGAGATGCTTACATCCCAGGACTGGCTTTTCAGCTGCTAGAAAATCTTCAATGAAGTCGCGAAGGAACACTGTCTGCTTTCATCAGGAAGCTAGGCAATAGCAAGGAAGGCGCTCACAATGCTTGACTCGCTGATGATCCAACGTGACTCCACTGGCTCACAAGAATACTTCAAAAGGATGCATGACGGTCGTCGCAAGCTGTGCAAGGCACGGGCTCTGTGCAGTGCGAGTGACCATGCAAGGGGCTTCTTGTCACCTACACAGGACCTTCGCATTAATAAGCAATGGCAGGTAGTGCCTTGCAATCGGCGTGAGCATTTCTGTTTCTATTGCCTTGCCAGTCTTGTAATAACACGCTGTGGCTATATGGTGGCTATGTAGGTACCGGTTGCCAACTTGCCTTTCGGCGGCCACACCGTCATGTGTTCCACGACCTGGAGTTGGGTCCCATCCAGCGTTGTAGCCAGGAAATCTTAAATCAAAGTCTCTTAGTTCTCGCTGGGGTCAATTCTTGTTTAAATCCTTCAAAACCATCCCAACGTGCAATGAATTAACTAACTACGACGAAGCAGATGCCCAAACCATTGTTCCTAGCATTCGGGGTTGCTGAGTCTTCTGCTGGGGTATACCGACTAAGGAAGTGTTGACTGTTGACAAGTTGAGATGTAAACATTTTAAACTTCAAAGTCACAGACTTTAACAGACACCCGTGACCCAAACTCCTGTGGAAGGCGATCTTCAAAGCTCGAAGTGAGGCATCTCATCTGTTGCATGCCTCGGTACACCCCGGCGACATTCTGATCATTGCAAGCGCAGCGTACATCTCCAGAATTTCGTTCGTGCTGCAAAGCCCACAAACTGATTGTCTTGACATGGCCACCTGTCAATTACGCTGCCTCAATATCCATTATGCTCTTGGAACTCCTGACTGGTGCACCAGGTTCACTCGCGGCTTGTAGCTCCACCGTGGAACTGGGGAACTGGGGAACCAACACACACGTACAACCAACATGAGCCACAGCAGCGCTACGGGCAAAACTCCTTCAGACTTGTCTAGCTTCTACCATGCTGGCTGTCTACCAATCAAGGCTGCAAGCTGAGTCGCTTTCTCTCTCGCGCTTACATTCTGACCCCGCGAAAAGAGTATGGCCCAAGGCCTGAAAGCGATAACATTTCCAGCGCCGCGCCTAGCGAGACCCGCGGAAGCGGCTGCGCGCGCTGCGCGCGCTGCGCGCGTTGCGCGCCATCAGCCCTTACTCGCCATTCAAGTCTCAGCTGCTCCAGCATTTGCACCAGCTCGGTCTTTTCAGTGAATCCACGAAGGTCTGCACCCTGTGCAGCCAGCCTTGCCTGCTGCTTGGGGCACATCACATGCTTTTCATTGCTTGTACAAGAAGACCCCCATCACAGAATCCCCCTAAGAATCTGAGCCCCTTGGATTCTTGGGCTTCTCCGAGGGCTTTGCACAAGCAGGCGCCAAGCAAACACCCCGAGTTAAGAATCTGAGCCCTCAGATTCTTTGCATGCGATGGCTTTACACGAGCAGCACCAGGATCACGATCAAACATGAGGGGGGGTTCTTACATGTTCTTACACAATCCTACAGTACAGCTATTCGTGAACGACTGTTCTGGGCTAGTGGCTACAGCGTCCTCTGGACTGGCTCGAATCCCAGCTAAGAATGTACTAAGAATCTGAGCCCCTGAAGCCGGAACAGCAGCAAAACACATGCCAAACAAGCCACCCTCTAGCTAAGAATCTGAGCCCCAGCCCTGGCCTAACCCTCGCACATTCTTAACCAGCGCCAACACCGTAGCCCTGAAAAAACAAACAAAAAACAGCCTTGAGCTCTTTGACCGGCAACTGCCATAAAGTTGAGTGGTGCGCGTGGTCTCTTGCCTGTGAACCGAAAGCACGGCTTGGAATGGGGGAATGTGATTCAAGTTGTTTTCCTCCTCTGGCAGTGTAGAGGTATTGGCTGGAAAATGCCAGGGCTTCCCTGCCACTCGGCACACTGCTTCCACTGCTTCGACCACCTTGCTAGCTGCGTGAGGCTGTGGCGAGCGGGTTGAATTGCTTAATTATGGACCTTAGGTGCTGGACTTTGTTGATTCGATGGATCAGAGTTAACCCTTATCCTGATCCCCACCCCCCATTTCCCCCATTCCCTCCCATCTTCCCTGCCACCCACTGGGTTACCGAGAGCGCGCTGCTACCGCGACAAGGAGGCACAAAACTTAACCGCGACAATGGAAAATATCTACCGCGACAAGGCGTCGCATGCCACGGCGACAAGCTTCTGCAGCTGCTGAAGCTACTTTTTGCTGCCCTCCCCTCCCCACCTGCTTACCTCCCCCCCCCCCACCCTCTATACCCTCCCCCGACTCCCCTCTCTGGAAATGATGTTCTTCAGCGACAAGAAACAGCTCACAGGTCTGACACGTGATGCTTTTTTCCCTGAGCGCATCCTGAGTGTCTGTGCACTCTGCACCCAAGGCCCCCTATTGCAGCCGACTTCGGCTTCACTTGTTCTTCTTGGCCTGGCAAAAGCAAGCGTGAACAAAAACCAGTTTGGGTCTCCAAAACTGATTTTTTGGAGGAGGGAAGGGGGGTCTGGGGGGTAGCTGTAGCTGCGCAGGCGTTTATGCACATGCAGAACCCCTTCTTGTCCTGGCAAGAGCAAGTGTTCATAAAAATCAGTTTGGGTCTCCAAAACTGATTTTTTTGGGCGGAGGGAGGGGTGGGGGGTTGGGCAAACAAAAACCAGTTTGGATCTGCAAAACTGATTTTTTGGGGGAGGGGGGGGGGGCTTTGCGGGGGGGTTGGAGAGGGGGGGGGCCTGCCTGTTGGACAGCAGCAAGACGACTTCACTTGTTCTTCTTGCCCTGGCAAGAGCAAGCATTCACAAAAATCAGTTTGGATCTCCAAAACTGATTTTGAGGCGGGGTGGATCTGCGTGCCTGGCGGCTAGCAGGAGATGGCTTCGCTTGTTTCTTCTTGGCCTGGCAAAAGCATGCGTCACCGAGCTTTTTTGGGGGGGCTGGGGGGCTCTGCAGGACTTCACCCTCTTGAAAGGTCCTGTGGGCATTCACAAAAATCAGTTTGGATCTCCAAAACTGATTTTTGGGCGGGGTGGAGCTGGGGGGGGGGCTTCGCCACATGTTGAACCCCTGCGTGCCTGGTGGCTACCAGGCGATGGCTTCGATGTTTCTTCTTAGGCGGGGTGGAGCTGGGCATGCTGAACCCCTGCGTGCCTGGCGGCTAGCAGGAGATGGCTTCGCTTCTTTCTTCTTGGCCTGGCAAAAGCACGCGTCAGCAAGATTTTTTTGGGGGGGTTCACCCGCTTGAAAGGTCCTGCGGGCATTCACAAAAATCAGTTTGGATCTCCAAAGCGGGGTGGAGCTGGGGGTACTGCGCCACACGCTGAACCCCTGCGTGCCTGCCGGCTAGCAGGAGATGGCTTCGCTTGATTCTTCTTGGCCTGGCAAAAGCACGCGTCACCATTTTTTTGGGGGGCGGATGGGCTCTGCAGGACTTCACCCTCTTGAAAAGTCCTGCGGGGTCTTGCTCACATCGCCGGGCTCTGCCATGGGAGCATGATGCTCCATGTTGTGCGCCCCGCTCTCAGCAGGAAAATGGAGGTCCAAGTCCTCCTGTTCAAAGGTGTATTACAGCGTGTTTCATGCCCGGGGATACCGTGGATACATGGTCGCCATGCCCAGGTTTAGGCCGCGCCTTCACCTCGAAACTTCCTCCCCCTGGCATTGAATGAACAGGCTTGTCCTGTCAAAAGGGCGTGTATCGAGTGCATGTCTGTATGTGTGGGGATGACACTGGATTTCGATGCTTATAGGACGAGTTTGGGAGTGAGAAGGTATCTTACTTACAGGGTGAGTTTACGAGTGAGAAGGTGTCGCACTTACAAAACGGGTTAGGAGTGAGAAGGTATCGCGTCCTCAAAGGTGTTCAAGCTCGGTGCCGGCGAGGCCTTCGCCTTCACCATCAGCTTTCGAACCTTTCCCACGTTCAGGGTCAAGGGTCTTTGGATGGGTTTGCCTTTCGGGATTAGGTTTCTAACAGGCCTTCCGAGGCTCGGCTTCCTTCTTGTCTGCCTGACAACTGTCAGCTTCCAAAACAAGCCTCCTCACCACCCCCCTCCCCCACTGAGAAAAAAAACAGTTTGGAGGCTGAAAACTGATTTTGCGCGCTTGGTGGCCTCTACTTGCCAGTCTTCCAGCGCGACCATCTTCTGAGACTCCTCAAGAATGATCTGGACGTTCCCGTTCTCCAAAATCTTGCTCACTCGCCCACGTGTGCCGACGGGGTAGGCGAGGCAGGCAGGCGTTGTGCACACCCAATCTCCTCTCGTGCATTTTCTCGATGCCAGCCCACACACTTGAGCAAAACGGTGGCGATCATCTTCACTCAGCACATGGAGCAAGTGCTGAGTCATGCCTCCGGTAAACTGTCTGGTGGCAA